AATATCAAAATAAATATAAAAATTAACTAAATCAATTATATTTATATTATATTTTAACAATTAAATTAAAACAAATATCAAAATAAATAATAAAATATATTAAATTAAATGTATATCAATTATTTTTCATTACAAAGTTCCTTTTTTTTTTAGGTGCTCCAATCCTACACTCTGAAAAGTAGGAAAGAATTTGCCTGCACAATATAATTAACTTGGGCACCAACATTCAAAAAAAAAATTGTAGTGCTCAATGTGAAGTTACCAAAATAGCCACTAACCGTTCCCACTTCCATCACACAAGACGAGTTATATACAAACGCGAGACACAACTCCTAAAAAGGAAGACTTGTACAGCTGGCAAGATGAGAATTACCAAACACAGGACATAAAACTGCACATGGCAATACAATTTAAAAGCTTTAAAGTGTACTAAGCTTAGATTTTAATTTAGTATAGTAGTTAGGTAATACATATATAACTAATGAATTAGCTTGGTTAATTAAAGCAAGTCATATAAACAGTGTTTGGCAAAATTTAAAAATTATTTACTTTAAAAATAACCTTTCTATTAGGTGTTTTATTTAAAGTTTAAATATATAATAAATAACTTATATAAAATAATATCAATCATAATAATATGGCATAAAATAAGCTTTTTTATTATTCCTATTGTACATGACCCTACAAGAAATGCCCCCATAAAAAAAACTGCATTTAATTGAACATACAATCAGAAATGAGAATAATTGGAAATGACAATGAAATTGGAAATGAGGATATTTGAAAATGAGAATGAAATCGAGGGAACCTTCAATTGGAACTTCAGAGAAATTGGAATTAAAATCAGAAATAGCTTGTGGAGAAACTCTTGGAAAGGAAATGGGAATGAAATCGGAAATGAGGATAATCAGAATCAAAATTGGAATTAAAAATAAAAAATGAGTTTGTGGAAAAACTCTTGGAATCAAATTGGGAATGAAATCGGAAACAAGAATAATCGAAATTGGAATTAGAATGGAAATGAGCTTATCGAGAAACTCTTGGAAAAAAAGGAGGACATTGTTTTTTAGAAGGTTTGGGGAAATGCTTTCTAGTTCCCTTCGTTGCCTTTTTCTTTTTTTATTTTAATTTTAGTTTAGTTTTAGGCGCTGTTTCCATCCCGCCCTTTTTTAATTAATTTCTTGCACTTGCCAAATAAAATGCAAGAAGTTACTTGTGTTTTGTAAAATGCTGATATAATAAAACAAGTTAAAAAATAAAAAAACTAGTTGCCTGGTGTTTGGTGCAAACGCAAAAATAAAAATGCAGCCAATGAGTCTTTTGTTTTTTTTGGGGTGGTGTGATCCTTAGGCCTTGGGCCCATGTTAACCTTGCCTTTTCAAGCCCTCAAAGAAGATAGTAGACACTAGTCCCCTTGTGAGTCTGCTTTCCTTTATAAGACCCATGGAGCTCAGCATAGCTCAGTCTTCTTCTGTTGATGGCCCAAAAAACACCCGAATAACGAAATGGTTAAATGTGAATTTTGGTTCCTCAATTTTTTTTTTTATTGTTAAAAGACCACAAAAGTATATAAAAGATTAAGAGACCAAAACTATTTAAAACCTTAAATTTCAGTGACAAAATAGGCATTGTTCTTCCCTCACCACATGGTTATGTAGAAAGTAATTAGTAGTTTCAGTATTTTTTTTTTTTATATTTGGTAATGGATTATCTAAAACAAGATAGCTCTTTCTTCCTTTAAAAAAAAAATAAATAAATAAATTATCATTCAAATATTGTTTAAAATTATGTAAAAAATAAACAACTGTATATTTTGAAAAGAAAGGAAGTAACCAAAGAAGTATATGAACTATCATCAGAGAAAAAGTGCAATAAAAATATAAACTTTGTACTTTTTTTATTTAAAAATATTAATTTTATTAGTTTCTAAATAAGAATATTGATTTTTTATTTTTTATTTAAAAATGTTAACTTTTAATTTTTTCTATTTAAGAATATTAACCTTTCAATATTCTAGAATATTAACCTTTCAATATTCTAATTAAAAACTTCATTTATCATGTTAACATCATCATCAAATTAATTTTTAAATAGAAAAAACTGAAAGTTAACATTTTTATTTAAAAATTAATAAAAATAACTTTTTAAAATTAAAAAAAGTTTAAAATTAAATAAAAAAAATTAAAAATTAACATCTTTATTTAAAAATTGATAAAATTAACATTTGTAAATAAAGAAAATAAAATTGGCACTTTTATTTACCCATTTTCTCCTATCATGATAATACATGCAAAAACTTATGAAAAAAAAAATTCCAATTGGCGGCCGGAAGTCTCACTCACAATTCTTTATTAAGATAAAAGTAGCATACATTTTTGATAATAAACAATACATTTTTGCATAATCCACTAAACACAGACTTCATAAAACAACAGTTACTTATTATTGGACTTAACTTGGCATGATTCCAAACACTAGTATTTACATGATTGAGCAACCTGGTTGAGTTTCTTGACAACCGCTTCCATACCCGCACCAACTGTCGTAAACGGGTATCCCATAACACAGACCGCATTGGCCTCGCCCGCCACAGGAACATGGGCCCCCAAGCCAACCGCTGTAGCATTTACAACAACGAAACCCCTGGAGTTGCAGATCTACATATAGTTTACACTTACACGGAGGCGGAGGCGGAGGCGGAGGCGGGGGCGGAGGCGGAGGCGGAGGTGGAGGTGGAGGCGGCGGCGGGATCTCAATGCTCTTGATGCATCCACAACCCTTACGGCATAACTTGTCCCTGATCTTCTCCGGCGAGCAGCTCACCACCTTAATTGTCACCTTGTTTGCCTTCTCATCATACTTCTGATCTCGTATTTCTTTAATTAATTTGTTCACAACACAACGACTCAGTCCACTTGGCTAATCAATCCATATATTGATATACATAGACGCACACAAATTATATTTAACAAATTATGTATTAATTAATTAGGAGAGAACAATAATAATTGAAGAAAGGGAGTCATCACCAGGAATTTTGCAGAGAAGTTTTTTGATCTTTTTGTAGCATTTTGAGCACTGTAGATCCACTACATTCAGCACCATTGTTGTCACCTGCAAAAGTGTATACATATATATATATATATATATGCCATGCAGCATCATTATTAGACAAGGAATATAATTTCAGAAAAACGATTAATTATGAGCAAATTAAAATTAGGGTGCCATAAATATGCATCAAACCAAAATACATAATTAGATATATATATCCTTAATTTTCATCAAAAGAGAGAGAGAGAGGTATAACGGCCACAGAGAAGAGAGAGAGAGAGAGAAAAAAAAAAGGATTAGTATAAATTTAGCACAAACCTTTTCGGCCATAGCTGCTATACGGAGAGAATTAATTAAGGAAAGTAATTTTTTATAAGTGGGGCGAGCGAGGGAGGGGGGTCTCGTTTAACGCACCAACAGTAGTCAATTGTCTCCGTCAATGTTAGTTTTTCTACTTGTGGGTCCAATCGGTCCAATCTCTTTTCTTTTTTAAAGATAATAATTAATAAATAAATATTATTAAATGTTAATAATTAAGAATTTAATTTTTAAATCGGATAAATAATCCATTACCCTAAATAACACACTCCACCCTCTAACCGTTTGGTGGAGTTTCGGTCCAATCTCATTTATTGCACGTCCTGCCCCTCATTACTCTCACCTTTTCATATAGAGCTAATCAACATCCTTCCTGAATTACCCCCAAAAAATATTAAATTATATAGCAAATTCCTAAACCAAACGCATAGGTACAGCCAGAAAAATAAAGTGAGGAAAGGCGAAACTTTTGTTTGACAATTTTAAATTTTTTTTATAAAATTAGTTAGATTTTTTATTTTTAGAATTTTAACAAAATTAAGAAATGAATATATTTTTTAATTTTTTATAATATATATATTTATATAATTCACAGAACACACTGATCTTATTATTTTTTTTCTTATATATTCATACTTAATTTAATTTAGCTTTAAAATTAAAAATCTCTTGAAGTGCTTATATTCGAACCGATGACGGTCCGTATATGCCCTGAACAGCAGTTTTTTTATTTTTTATTTTTTTTTAGATTACATTTGGTGAACTTTAAAATTTTTCATGTATATATGTTTATTTTATTACATTTTTCAATTTTCTTTTATATTTATGTATATTTTGTTTTTTGTTTTGTAGGAAATGTAAAGAATTTCAA